CTCTTATCAGGAAACTTGCCATCATCATACTCTACATGCAAGCAAATTGGGTATGTTGTCAGGAAAAGAATGAAGATGAGAGAGGAGTCCTGCCAGCAGGAATTTCTCAGCACTGGTTTCTTGTATAACAGTCAGCCTTTTTATAAATAGCACCTCATTCCATGCAATGATAGAATATTAATCTGTCACCATATTTGGCACAACCATAGGATCATGAACTACTTGCTAATTACCATTTGAGCTCATGCACAGAGTTCAGGCTGTGATAGTATTAGCTTGGTCAGAGTCACAAGTCGGTCAGTGCCAGCAACAATTCAGTGTCTGTTTCCAATCTCTGGAAGTGTCATATCTGCATCCTTTCATCCCAGGAGGTAAAATCCTGGACTCCCTCTCTTAGTATGAATAATTTGTCTTGTCACTAGAGCCCTAAGGAAAACTATGTGACAGTTTCTGTTAGCTGTTCATATGAGAAAAAAAGCTTTTAAAAAGAGAAGTAAATGTATATCAGGCATGTTTAACTACTATTTATTAATAATTTTTAAAAGCTTGAAAAGCTTCACCAGACTCCAATATATAGAAGAAAGAATTTTTTACCCCATATCTTGTAAGAAAATTAGAGGAAGGACTGGAGGAAGCCCAGGGTCATTGGTACAAAGACACTATTAATACCAGGAGCTTTCTCAAGCAACCAAAGAGAAGATGATGTGGATATGATTCTTGCAGGTTTTACAGTTGCCCAAATAGTTCTGAATGGAGTTAGTGGCAGTAATCAGCTGTTTATCAGTTTCCTCCTGCTGCTTCTCATGAAAAATCTTGATTAGCTACGGAGGTCCTGAGATGGGCTGTCTGCAGGCTCAGGAAGATAGTGCTAATCCAATGTATTCAGCTCACACACAGAAGACTACCTTCAAACAATATAGATTTAACGTTTTCCTTATTTAAATCAAAAAATCTGTAGGAACTGATGATTTAAGTCTTTTCATTCAATAGGTGAGCTCTCCAAATCCAGAAGTTTCTGAATTTATTAGAACTGGATAGTAGTAAAACAGTAGTAGCCTTTGTTACATTTCCATTTCCATCACGTTGCCATTAGAGACAGTGGAAGTTTAGACAAAGATATGGGACCCATGTCTGTGTTGTAAAATAATCTCTTAGCAGTTTCACTGAAATTGCATAAAATTGTTTCCATTTTTCAAATTTGTATAAAACTAAAAGTAATTTCCTTCTAGAGAAAAATCTTCTAATCCTCTTTAGAAGGATTAAAATGTAAAAATTTCTAGCAATACAAAGTAGATCTGTAGGTGGATTTTATACCTGTCTTTTTGGTGTTGTAGCTGATAAATGATTCATTACCTGTTTTATATTATTGAGTAAGTCTGTATTCCTGAAGTCATTCAGTGCAAAATATTCCCTCAGCAAGTGAAGACTCAAGGTTGACTAATCTTACTTATGTTAATCTCTACAGGTAAGGTATGATTCCTGCATCTGAAGATGTTGACCAAGTAGTCATCTAGTAGAAAGCATCTAAACTGTATAGAGAAATGAGAAAATAATAATATCCCCTCTTTGATATCTGCCTTTATGCAAAAGAATCTAGTCCAGCCACCGTATACCAGTGTGACTTATTACCAAGAGAAGTCCAACTGCAATCAACAAAATGACTCCAGAAAGTTACAGAAGTATGTCGAAACATGAAGGAACAGAATTCAGGAAAGATGAGTTAGTTGGAAATCTGAGGAACACAGCTGGAAAGCTGTGCACTGAGTTCCTGATATAAGGGCATGTGTTTTTAATTACCTAGGTGGAAGAGAACAAAGTTAAATTATTTTTAGGAAGTACTAAGAACATATGTCTGATTTGCTGTGTAGTAAAAAACCACAGAAATGTCAGTATTTGCTAATTATTCTTGCACAATGAGCAGAAAAATCCCACATCTATTGATCATTAACTGAACATTAAGCTGCTTCTCATTTTGAGGACAATTAATAAAAGTAAACTGGATTTGGTAGTTGCTGTTAAATAGTAAATAAAACTTTTGTCAACAGTTACCTGGGTAAATGTGGACATTTTCATGAACACCAGAAGTATGCAGATTTGCTGCATCATTTCAGTGGACTCCCTCACAAGTGTGAGGGCAAGAAATAATCTTCTGGAAGTGTGTGTAAGCAGATCAAGAAAGCAAATTATTGTATGGTTTGTCTCTAACATTTTTGGAAGATTTTATGAAATTGTGTAAATGAGTTAAGGCAGGCAATAGGCAACTTACAATTTGTCCAACCTGCATGTTCTGAGTAAATCAGTCCTTATCTAATTGTCCTTGTTTCTAAGCCTAATTGTCCTTGAAAGTATTATAAGCTGTTATATTTTCACACAAATGAACTGCTCAGGAAGAATTTGTCAAATGCCTTAGGTGCAGCTTTTATTCTACCTCAGGTGCTTTCTGCAGACATGCTTTCAAGACATTGTCTACAGCAATTGTGTAGCTGTCAAAAGGAAACTACCATTCCTGAGCTCTGTTTTCACATCTCTCCTCCAGTATTTCATCATATTGATTCAGTGCAGGCGTGGTTTTTGTTTTGAGGGCATTAGAGGTATGTAAAATGACGGTGCTTATGCTTATCCAGAAAACACTAGAACTTGTTGCAATTCCCACAGCGACAGCAGCTGTTGGTTGCACAAGCTAGTCAGTGTATAAACTGTGGTTTCCAGAGGTCTGACTCAACAACTGCTTAAAAGGGCAAAAGCCACACAATGTATTATTTTCAATTGGCACATATACCTGCAATTTAGAGCACTGTGCACCAATATAATATTAAGACTTATAGAAGATGGCTTAGGATCCACTGTATCTCATTAGCCATACTAAGAAAGAAGGGCTAGTGCTGGAAATATGCTTGTTTCCAAATTAGAAAAGACAGTACAAACAACCGCTGAAAGCATATGGATTTTCTGATTGTCGTAAATGCAATAAAAACTGTGGAATTATCCCATTCAACATAATCTTTATTTTTACAGTTTTCTTATTTTACTTAATTTTTATATCCTATTCTCCCCTACTGAAGATGCCCCTATGCCGTTTCCCTGGCTAGTGCCACACTCACACTGTTTGCTTCAGTGAAGCCAACAAGTCCATCAGCATTACCAAGGGCTGCAGTTAAGCCTATCCATACACTATTCCCATTGCTCTGATAGAAAATGTGCCATGAGTACCCAACTGCTCTTCCCCTGTTACCAACGTGCTGCCTCTTTACCTAAAATAGTTCAGATTGGATGCGACCTGGAGGCCACCTGGTCCATCACCCCACTCACAGCAGGGCCAACCTGCATGGGAGCTCCCAGGGAGAGACATTGTCCAAAATCAACTGGCAAGGTACAAGTCATGCTTTTGCTGTGCTCCTTCAGCTGTGCCCGGTGACAGTCCCTGCGGGCAGTGGGAAGCCAGGCCCTGTGCAGAAGTACATTGAGTCCAGTCCTATGAAACTCGTATTTTGGCGTGTTTTCTCTGCCTGTGGATTTTCTCAGCTAGTGAGTCAGTGGCAAGAAACCCTGTTTCAGTGTATGGGTTTGCTTTCTTGTGTGTGTTTCTGTAGTGATGTATCACCACCTCAGGACACATCGTACTCTCTCAGGAGCAGAAGCCCTGGTGCTGCATCCCTGCCGTGGTACCCTCCACCGCAAGGCACACACTCTGGTAGGAAGAGGGGCAACCAACCTCCAAGGAGGCTGCTCCCTGGTGACCACAGGACGTGTCTGAACAGCAAGTCCTGTACCAGCCCCAGGCTGTGTCCAAACCTGAGCTGGTAAGATGCTGGGTCAATGTCTGTGACCATGCTCCTGAACCCAGTGGGGGCCGTGCTTGAGGTCTCCTTGCACAAGAGCACACGTCCCACCCAAGGTGTGAGTGGCCAGGCCCAGGTTAGCCGTGCGTGCTCAGTGCTCACCCTGGCACCATCCAGCCAGGGGACATCACAGCAGCTGCTGGCCAGTGGGCAAGACTGGCTCTGCTTCAGGTGATGGAGCACGTTACTTCTGAAAAAAAGAAACTTGTCACACCATTTTGCCTGCACCACAAGAGCCATGTTGTCTCATGACACTACCTGCTGTCCCACAACAAGGCTATTTCCCTGGGAACCAAGGGTCAAAGAAAATTTATGCTGCTTGAAAAATAAGTTCAGCCTTTTAGCAGTCACACAGGCTGATGGCTTAGCATCTGAACACTCACCCTTTGCCTCTGTCCCCGCCATGGCACGGCTGCCCCTACGCAGAGTAGCTGGTGCTCAATGTCGGCTGGCTTTCTGTGTAGGTAGAGGGTTTTCATTTCTCTTGCTGCTAAAAGGATCAGCGTTTTTTCATGTTTGGGATGTCACGTGGTGATTCCTCAGGTAAACCAGATCAGAAGTTGACAGCAGTGTTGGCAGCTTATTTTTCCTTGCAGAACAATGTCATTACTTGTGTTTTTGAGGACTACAAACCTTATGCATAAAACATATTTCATTTAAAGGGGTACTGTCAACTGACAAAATACCCCCTTGCTATTACCTATGTGTGTTACAAGCACTTAGATTACCCGAAATGATAGGTAGTTTTTTTCCTTTGTTTTTCTCTGGCTTGTTTGCCTGACCATTTGACAGTAATCCAATGTTTCCTTTGAATATCCAAGTTAAAAATAATTTTCCCCTTTTGTTTTGTGTGAGCCTTTCATATTGCAGTGAAGAAATCAGTCCCACCAGGAAAATGTGATTGTACTCATACAAAAACTTGCCAGGGATTCAGGATGTAACTTTTTTTTTTTTTAAGCAAAGTGAGGAATTAATGTTATATCCTAGGTTTTTATATTAAATGCTTAATCACAGCATATAATTCTGTGACTTGTTTTTAAGTAACCTAGCTTTGAAGCTCAGGATGAAAAAGTGTGTTGCTTTAATGATAACTGTAGGTTCTCATCAAAATGAAAGTTTGGTCTCATTATTCCATTGTTCTCCTTTTCTTTTTTCTCCAAGCTGCCTGTCTCGTCCTGGGTTGTATGATTTTTCCTGATGGCTGGGATTCAGATGAGGTAAAACGGATGTGTGGTGAAAAGACAGACAAGTACACGCTGGGGGCTTGTTCAGTCCGCTGGGCATATATCCTGGCAATTATTGGAATCTTGGATGCCCTGATCCTCTCATTTCTGGCATTTGTGCTTGGCAACAGACAAGACAGCTTGCTAGCAGAGGAGCTCAAGTTGGAAAACAAAGGTAGGACTGCTTTAGAAACACTATTATTGGGTGGCCTTGAGGGCAATTGCTTAAAAACAATGATCGGTTCAATTTTATTTTATACTTAAAAGTTGGCATGCTGGCTTACTTCCTAAGTTGCTAGGAAAGAAATGCAAGGAGCAGAGGCAGTTTTATTTTTCAGCCTCCAAAATCTAAAAAAGCTCAAAAATTACATAATTGCTACACTATGCATGACTTATCATTAACAGTTTTTAGAGCTGTAGATGGGATGTTTTTGTGTTACCCACTTGTACATTATTTCATTAGCATTTAAGTTTCACTATCTCCATCTTTTTTCTGTACCCCATGCAAGATTTGTTCATTTGGTTCCTTTAGGATTTTGCACTGTAATATGAACAGCTGTATTATGGCATATGTGTTAGCACAGTACACAGTAAGGGGGGAATGTTGACTTGGGAGGTTGGCAATGAGCTACGTAATGGGACCACCTATGCAGCAAGGTACCGGTGGGCTAAGGATCAGTGCCAGGAATGAAGAAGAATCCTACTTCTTGTTTTATTGTGTTGCTTCGAGCTCATTAGTCAGCTCACAGGACTCTAGGATACTGTAGGAACTGAATATTCATGCAGTGGGTTGGGGATAAAACATATTTCTAGATTAAGCACAAGAAACCAGCTCAGGCCAGTAGTTTATCACGCAGTTGCAAGAGGAGAGATGCTGTTTGGTGAGTGTGTGCAAGCCTGGCTGAGTTCTGCAGCCCCTTCCCTTGTCCCACCCCCCCACACACATCCACAGCTGTGTAACTGATGTGATAGATACCACAGAGGGCATGTCCCTCCTGTGTCTTTTTCATGGGCCTGTTGTCCCTGGATCTGTCTAATCCTTTCTGAATCTGCTGATACTGTTGGCTTCTACAGCACCATGTGGCAGCAAATTCCTGAAGCTCACTACTGACGGCTAAAGAAGTACTTTCTTTTATCTGTTTCAAATCAATCCCCTACTAGTTTCACTGAGTGTCCCCTAGTGCAGGATTCTGCATTCAGATCATCCACCACCTTTGTAATTTTGTAGGTTGCTTCTAATAATAGCAAAGATATTAGGAGCCCTTCACCCCTGGATTGGAAATCAAAAGCTGCTTGGCAGCCTGTGTTGTACAAAAATAGCTGGTCTGTCCTGCTCCAGAAGGACCATTAGCTGTATATCTAAAAGCACCAGCTCACTGGCCCCAGCTTGCTGAATTGCAGACAGTTAGCACATTCAGCCCAAAGATAAATGGACTTGAGGACTGAACTTCACATACCATTCCAGACCTGGTTAGAGCCTACTAATGTAGGTTAAGTAAAGTGTATGTTGCTTGCAGTTGCATGTATACATCTGTTCTGCAGGAAAACTGAGGGCATCAGTTTCAAGGACTGTCCCTGAGGCCCTTTTCTGTAAGGATAATATTCGTCTGCATTTGAAAATTAAAATATTTAATAGAAGGGCATTCACAGCTATGCCACAAGTGCTTTTGGCATCAGCACTGTATCTGATTTGTCTATACCATACAGAGCTCATGAACTGAACAACTACTTGTATCAAAGAATCTCATCTGTTTTGGCACCTTATGAGCAAAAAACAGCTTCTGGAGACTCATCACTTCTCACATTGCTGGCACAAGCTCCTGCCAGAACATTTGGTCCTCAGCATGTCGGACAGAATCATTCAGAAGTTCATTTTCCTTGGATTAAGCGCAGAAATGTACCACACCACCGTCTTCAAAGCAAACCAGAACTTAACAAAAAGGTATACACCCCACTTTGTCCTTCACAGTCAGGCTTAATGTTAACCACGTTTTAAATTGCCTTTCAAATGAAAAGAAAAAGAGGCAACCTGCCTTCTAAAAAGGGCATCAACTCCCTGCTCTTCACAAAAAGCTTCTGCTAAGCAACAACAGGACAAATCTAAATCCCCCTGCAGCCTCCCTTCATATCCCCACCTGCATGTGTTGCTGCTGGGCACAACCACAGCCCCTGTGGAGTCCCAGGAGAACACAGTGGGAACATGGGTGGGCACCACCATCTCTGTCAGTGGTGGGAACATGGCAGGTACCAGTGCCAGGAAAGCACCAGCTCTCCACTTTGCTGGCCAGAAATTGATCCTTCTTCTGGCTTTTTGGATTCCAGGAAAGCCTGCCTGAATCCTAGTGAGCAAATATCCCACTGAAACAACAAGGCATGAGCACTTAATTCCCTCCAGTGGTCTCTGATCTCTATACAAGATGGGCTGCAGCTTGCTGTCCCCTGTGCTGTGCTGATGGAGCTGGGCTTTGGGGCATGGTTCCTGCAGACCAGGGAGGGGTTTCTTCCCAAAAGGCTGCACTCTGAAGCAGGCACTGAGGTCTGTAGGTAGTACTCATGCAGTTTTGCACCTAGCAGTCTTTGACTGCAAATGCTGCCCACAGTGTTTATGAAGAAGATTTTGGGTTTGTATGGCCAGGATTGTGAGGCAGGTTTTGTAATCCTGGCAGTCACTTGCTGCATGCTCAGGTGACTGATTTGGGGCCGTGGTCTGTGGTTAGAGAGGGTGTTGATTACTTAACCATAATGATGAAGAACCTGGTAGAAGATGAGAGCCAACACTTGTCATTGAGTTGGCACCAAACAACTTCCCGTCCATAACCACGGCACACACTGCACATGCGTGAGGGCTTTGATGCTTACCTCATAAACTATGTTACCCATGGATTCTTTTGAGTTAATAGTTACTGGAGAAATACTCACCAGCTTTAGTCCACATGTAAAGTGTCCATGTGTCTCTTGGAAATGGTCATGATGACAAAATACTGAAATATGCAAATATCACTAGCACACCTCCCGTATAGACCAGAAGATAAGACTAAGGATATAAGCAATCCCAGCCTCAGCCTCCCCAGCCACTCTGACAATGTGAAGTCAAAGCTCTCATAACAAGCAGTCATGAATATTAAACACCTCCCATCCTCACCTACAAGAGGTCTGCCTCCAGACTTGCACTGGCTCCTGCTTCAAGATTAGCAGGTATGGATGAGAAGCATCCTCAAGGAGGAGGCCTTGTGCTGCTGCTGTCTTCCAAGAGGCAAAAGATATATCTGATGGTCAGGACTGTCCTTTGGGTAGGAGCCCAGGGACTCCTTCCCCTTGGTGGTGGTGATGTCCTCAGGTCACAAGCCTGGACATCCCATAAGCTTTGATAAACAAGGTGTCCCGTTAAGGGACAGTCATGGCTCCATTGTGGCTTTTTGGGGTAACGCACCTGGGGAGCAACCAACACTGTACCCAAGAGAAACCTCTGCTTGCCTTGTCAGCTCTTCTGCAGCTTTACCCCATGCGTGTAGATATTATTACGTGATAGCTCAGCAGAGGGGAAGAGACAGTACATTAAGTATGTGTCATGACAGTGTTAATTTATGTGGAAAAACCTTCAAGAACAAGAAATTATTAGGCAATGATCAGACAGCTGGGCAGCTGTTTTCTTAATCAGATAGTTGTTCTGTCTGGAGACTTCATTGCATATCAGCTCCCACAGGCTCATTAATGAGAGTCTGCAGTGGCTGTGTGAGTACCTGGCACCACAGCTGTTTCTGAGCATTGGTGACAAGGAAACAGTTAAAAGTATATGAAATGTAACAGGATGGTAAAAAGGTGAGAAAATTACAGAAAAAGAACAAGCTGTACTTCTCTGTAGACTTACCGTGCTGAATTGTCCGCCTGCTCTGTGCTTTTGCTGAATACAGTTCTGTATATTTACATCGGTTAATGAATGCTCGTAAGTAAGGAATTTGAGTGTTAAAATTATTCATGGCAGAAGACAACCATATTTTTGCTATAAAAGAAATTTCCTTTTTCACTGCATGATAAAAATAATGCTTCCTCATTTCTTACTTGCTTAGGTGTGAGAGTAAACTAAAACGTGGGTTTCATGTCTGAGAAGTACAACTCAAGTTTAGCAGACTTTCTTTAGGTTATAATCTATTTAATGCAGTTTCCTAAGCATGCAAATTTTACGAAACAGTCTGTACCTTTTTCATTTAAAAAACTGCCTTTTGAAGAAAAAGTATTTATAAAAAGGCTTTCACATTATGTTTATGCCATTAGCAAAAGGAGGGGAGAGAACATTATTACTTGTTTTTCTTTAATTTATAGGAACTATTGGTAATCACTTAAGGGCTTGTATGTTATTAAACTAATGGCATGTAGGACGATAACAAAAATAGTCAGAATTAATCTTAGCTTTGAGCTTCATCAACACCATTTTGAGTGAGCCATCAACATCAGGCATAATCCTTGATGTGTTGTGTAATGACATAATTTAACATTTTGAACTGTAATGTCTTAATGACATAAAATTAAAGTTCTGGCCAAGGGGTGAAGAGACCAAATGAGAAGTTTCCAAAAGAAATTGTGAGTGCAAGGCAATTACTTTTGAATATGGTTTGCATTATAACTGATAAATGTAAGAGCATTCAGAAGAAACTTTACTGTTAAGTAATATCAATCAGAGGTTGATGATGCACAGGTGAATGATGCACTTTGTGGACAGCTGTGGCTTTTCTAATGGATAGAACAGCTTCACAAAGTGTTTATGTGTAACATTTGACTCATCTTTAGGGCCTGTATTGTCACAGATAAGAAATTTGCACTAAAGACTTCCTGGAGTTACAAGCCTAAGGCTGAAACAGATAAAAGGAGCCGGGAGCTGAACAGAAGATTTGAAGGGTTCATCTACATTGCAGTGATTGCAACTCTCACAGACTCAAACCACACCACATCGCTCCCAGCAGCCACGTTGCAGAAGGCTTGTCGCTGCGCTCAGTGCAGGATGCCCAACCGAGGACTTACCAGCTGGTTGACACTTACACCCTCATTATTCTCCATAGCAGTGCTGTCAGGGCCTGATCCAGGTAATTGAAAGCTGGCTCTGTACATCTGCATGAGCTGCAGTCATTGCAGCATCAACACAGTTAAAGACACAAGCTAAGAGGAAGTTGTTTCTTGGTG